GGTAGGAGAATTAGGTTATCGAAAAAACATTTGAGAAACTTACGAAGAGGATACTATAGCATGAAGAAAGAAAGAGTAAGAGAATAAAAACAAATACTATAAAAAAACTCTAATAATGAATTCAATGAGGCCAGGCCTCGTGCTTCACAGCGATTAGGAATCACGCAGAGTTAATGTCATTCAAATTATCAGCATAATTAGCCAGTCGCAGTCTCATCTGAAAACTGGACTAACCATATTATTATTTTAATTTCTCGGCTACCTGATTCAAATCGTATTTCAATTCGGGTTTGGCAGTTCAAATAAAACCTTTATTTTTCTCATACTTGGGGACAATGTGGAGATGAAAATGGAAAATGCTCTGAGAAGCAATTTCATTCATATTACTAATAATATTAAATCCTTGGGGGGGAGTTGGCAAGTTGGTATTTTTTAATTTATTAATAATTTTTTTCATTAGAGGCAACAAATATTTTCAACTTTGCTCGTCAATTTCGGCAATATTCGGAAAATGTTTTTTAGTAATTAACAATACATGACCGTCACTGGCAGGATAAGCATCCAAAATAGCCAAAATTGCTTCATTTTCGGCAATAATATGGGCTGGTGTTTCTTTTTTAATAATTTTACAAAATAGACATTCCATAACTTATTTTAGTTTGAAAATGTTTTTTGTCTGGTTTGTGAAATATTTACTTGTCAAGTAATTTTAAAATACTTCTAAACCTATTATCCATACAAAATTTTTGTAATTCAGGATTGTTTTTCCATTCCTCTCAATTAAAATCACATTCAGGAATTTTTTCACCTGACAAATCAATATTTTTTTCTAAACTGATAATTTTCTTGTTAAGATAAACCACTTTTTCCTTATCGGTTAATAATTTTTTGGTATTTTCAGGCAAATTATCTATTTGTTGGTAAACATTCTCAACAATTTCAAATTGTTGAATTAATTTTTTAGCACTTACTGGTCCGATTCCTTTTACTCCCTCGATATTGTCAACATTATCTCCCAATAGACTCAAATAGTCCACATAATTATTGGGCCTAAAATTATATTCTTGACAAAAATTTTCGTAAGTATAAAGCGTTGCTTTTCCGTCAATATATTTCAAAATATTAACATTTTTATCAAGTAATTGTAGCAGATCCTTATCACGAGTAAAAATGTCGAAAATCGTGTCGGCGTTTGGGGTTTTTTGTTGAATAAAAGAAGCGATTAAATCGTCGGCCTCGCAATCTATTAATTGAATGAAATTAATATTGGTTTTTTTTAATAATGTTTTTAGTTCATTCATTTGTTCTCATAATTCGACCGGCATTTCTTCGCGCTGGGCTTTATAGTGAGGGAGCAGATTTTTCCGGAAATTGACGCCGCCTCCATCAAAAACTACCAATAATTTTTGGTAATTGCCTTTTTTAAGAACACTAATCAGCACTCGTAAAAAGAAAAAAATGGTGCCATTCGTTATTTTCCAGGCCATTTTTTGGGACACATGGTAGGAGGAATGGAGGAGATTATTGCCATCAATTATCAATCATTTTTGAGTCATAGAAAGACAATGAAATTTTACATAGTTAAAAAAGAATTCAATCTTTATTAGTAGCAGCATTAAATAGTCTCTATCCCATTTTGTATATAATAACTCCTTTTTTTTAGATGTAACACTTATTAAAAAATAAAGAAAAAGTTTAAAATTAATAATTATACTAACTCATGAAAATTTTTCCTTTAGAATTCTCTTCTTTCGAAAGTTTATTTAAAGATAAAAAACTCGTTATCCCGTATTATCAAAGAGACTATATTTGAGAAAAAGATAATTGAGAAAAGTGGCTAAAAGACATTCAAAAATTAATTGATTGTGAAGATGTGGAAGAAATTCATTTTATCGGCAGTATTATTTACAAGAAAAATGATGCAACCAATCCCTCTTTTCCCGAATACCTAATTATTGATGGTCAGCAAAGAATTACTACTTTTTTTGTTTTTTGCCTTGTTATTCTTGAAATTTTAAAAAAGAATAACTCTAAAAATGGTTTTTTAATAGAAAATATTAATCAACTCCTTTTTATCTCCGATGGTCGCGAACTTTGCCCTCGCCTTATTATGAGAGGGGAAGATGAAAAAACTTTGGGAGCAATTTTAAGGTACAAAAATTCAGAGGGTAACAAACAGAGAGTTTTCGAGGCCTATGAACATTTCAGAAAAAAACTTGGGGGAGGTAGCATGACCGGAATTCACATAAAAGATTATTTTGAAAAGTTAAAGAGTAAGTTTAATTTTATATCAATAAAATTAGAAAAAGATGATGATGCTTTGGAAGTATTTAAATCGATTAATACTTCGGGGATAACATTAACTTCAACCGACTTAATAAAAGCAGAGTTTTTTATTATTTATGAAGAAAAAAAGTTAGATTGTAAGAAATTAGCCCAAGATTGAGAAGATATGAAAAAAAATGTCGGTAAAGAAAATATTAGCCACTTCTTTTATGTTTTTTTACTCGTAAAATATGGAAAAGGAGAATATTCAGAAAAGGAATTTTATTCCTACTTTCGAAATAGACTTTTACAAGAAAAAGAGAATATTGAAAGACTATGAAGTGAAATAATTCAAAAAAGCAGAATTTACAGCCAAATTTTAAATCCCCAGCAGGATTATTGAGGCGAAAATTTTCATT